CTCTCTCTCTCTCTCTCTCTCTCTCTCTCTCTCTCTCTCTCTCTCTCTCCGGTACTAACCTGTGAAGGTGGCCCCTTGTTGCAGGTACATCGAAGTCGAAGCTGGAGCTATGGCGCCACAGGTAAGTCTCCTTGGCCTCCGCCAACCATCTCTCTCTCTCTCTCTCTCCAACGCTACTCTAGCTCCTACTAGTGCCCAGCGCTGAAGACTACTGCTAACGCTACTACTACTCCCGCAGCGCTCCTCCAGAGTGCTGCTGCCGAATTCTGAAGACTACCTCCTGCCTCCTGCACGTGAAGTGCCTGGGAAGTTCCTATGAACTGCCTCGTGACTGCCTGCAGCCTGCAGGGCGGGCCAGTCTTATATAGTGCTGGCCCGTCCAGGAGGCTGCTCTTGCCAATGCCAAAACGTGCCAGACCCTGGCGTTGAAGTTCAACCAAAGGCTGTCTTGAAAACAGGCCCAAAATGGCCTGTGCTAAAACCCTGGTCTGGTGCCTAAGTTTCAGGGCAGGTCGATCTTATGAGGGCCTGAAAATGGCCCTCGGTTTCAGGCTGAAAAAACTCGGGGACTGGAGGGCCCTGTTTTAGGCTGAAACGACACAGGGCCTGTAGGCCCTTGTTTTCAGGCTTTCAGGCTGAAACGACACAGGGCCTGTAGGCCCTCGTTTTCAGGCTTTTCGGCTGAAACGAAATAGGTCCTACACCTACTGACCCTTAGTCTACCTTGTCGGGCTCTGCTGGGCCCGTGTGGTACAGAGTATGCCACATCTAGCCACCCCATTTGAAGTTTGAATCTTCATCTCTCCACCGTTGTGTCCTCCTCCGAAATTGCCTGAGCAACCTCTCACCCTCATCAGCATCATCATCATCATCACCGTCACCGCCACCATCATCGCCATCAATATCGCGAGCAGCATCATATCATTCTTCAACATGATCTTCTTCTTCTTCTTCTTCTTCTTCTTCTTCTTTGCCTTCGATTTATCTCTTTTATCCTAATCATCCTCGCCATCCTCTTCTTCTTTGTCATCGTCGTCTTCATCTTCTTTCTTTCTTCTCCTCCCATCTTTCGTCTTTTTCAGCTGCAACATGCTAGGAAGCTTCGCCTCCTTTAATTAAGCCAACAGTGCCCAATTCTTCTGTTACGGTCTGGCAGCTGCAATACCCCACTAAGCGACGGAACAAAACATATACAACTTGCTATTTTGAATTTTCGACTTTCCCCAGCCCCAGGTCTTCAGGCTTTGCCCAGAATGACAGATATTGAGCATTAAACCACCAGTGCTTCCTAAAGTCGTGCCCGTTAACAAGCCACAGTTTTAGGAAATGTACGGTTCACTACAGACGCGACCACATTCATCCAACTAGAAATGTTTCTCCTCTCTTTTTTTTCCACGGCCGTTAGCTGGTCCAAGTACTGGTGGTTTAAACCACACCTACCTCAGAGCCTCTTTTTGCTGAGGTGGAGAAGACCTGCGTGCCACGCTGTGCCAAAGCGCCAGCGCGACCTTTTTCCTTTTGTTTTGGCTGCCTCCACCAACCATTTTGGTCCGGCGGCGCCCAGCCCCCTAAAAATACAGTATATAGGTTATATCCATGACCGGGCCTTCCACTCTTGAAGGTAGAGTGGTGGTTTAAAGGGGAAAAATAAATTCCATTTTTGGACCCCTCTTGCAGAGAATTCAGCCGTTCATGCACTTCTTTCCCTTTTGCTTGGGGCTTCCCAAACTTATTCCACCCTTCAGTCCACATCCATCCACGAGAAGGGAGGGGAGGAAGGGCGGGAGGGCAGTGTGGGGGGGCAGGTTCTTTCGATAGGACCCTCTGCTGATTTCCTTACCTGTCTTCACCCGATACAACGTATGGTCATTAGAACCGTATTTGGCTCACCTTTGAGTCCAGATGCACCAGAAATGACCCTACATTCTATTCGGGGGGAAGTTACCTTCCATCCTCTCCAGCTGCCACACCCTTACAGTAGAAATGGCCTTTTTTTTTTTTTTTTTTTTTTTTTTTTTT